AATATTTTATCTATTTCCAGAATTGAAAACAAACAAACAAAAAAACAAAAAAACAAATAAGCAATAGCATAGCAAGGGGGTGAAGAATAACAGGAGAAAAGAAGATGTTTAAGTCTCTTGTGTGTAATAATTCATACTATAGTGTGAATCTGTCTGTCTCAGTGTGAATCGATCTGACTTCCAAAGAATTCTGCAACTCACAGCACACAGACTGAACTGCTTTGCATTAGTCATTAAGAAAAGTGTCATAATTTGAACAAGTTGTAATTTTACAGAAAGTTTGGACACATTAAAATGCAATGGGCTCGGGATTTTACAAACATGGAGTTGGCACTGGAATGCCTAGAGGTGACAGCATATTTTTCATTATACAATCTAAAAAAAATAATAATTGTAAGATGATATAAACTTGTGATACTTCTTCAATGTAGAAGCAGTGAGAGTGAGCCCTGGGGCCCCTTGTCACAAGCTACTGTGGATGCAAAAAGTCCTCCTGAGTTCTAGTCTCCTAGAGGAGACTAGAAGTTACAGAAGATAAATTCACAGCAAGCATCCCTGGCTTAGTATGTTCCTGAATGGCAAATGATTGAAGTTTGTGGTAACACTCAGGGGAAATATTATTTTGGCTTGCCCTGGTCCACTTCATTTCCCCTTGACACCTCTCTGGATGTCTGTGATGGGATACAATGACATTGGGATATGCCAATCTTTGATTTGATCCAGTGTAGTTAATTATTCTTATATTCTTCTGAGAATCTGCTGTTAAGTGCAATTCAACACTTCTTCAGCACAAGAATTCAACATTCTTTCTGTTAGCCAGAACTTGAAATATTATTAAAATGACTTTTAGAGAGACGTCAAGTTCATAGACTCATAGAATGCTTAAGGTTGGAAGGGACCTCTAGAGATCATCTAGTCCACCCCCCTGCACACGCAGGGTCACCTAGAGCACGTGGCACAGGACTGCGTCCAAGCGGGTTTGGAAGATCTCCAGAGAAGGAGACTCCACAACCTCTCTGGGCAGCCTGTTCCAGTGCTCTGTCACCCTCACTGTTAAGAAATTTTTACTTAAGTTCATGTGAAACTTTCGGTGCTTCAGTCTGTGGCCATTTCCATCTAGTTCTGCCAGTGGCCACCACTGAAAAGAGACCAGCACCATCCTCCTCACTGCCTCCCTTGAGGTACTTCTAGACACTGATTAGATCCCCTCTCAGCCTTCTCTTCTCCAGGCTGAACAGGTCCAGTTCTTCCAGCCTCTCCTCATAGGGCAGATGTTCCAGACCCCTGATCACCCTTGTAGTCCTGTAGTTCACAGCATCTTTTAAATACACAGCTCTCTTGTCATCTGAATTACTTTTTAAAAGCCAAAGCTGTTAGCATATGTTATATCAGATAAACGGACCTGGCTGGCTCTCAGCAAATTTCCTCTTTTGCACCCCATACTGCATAACCAGCATGAGTTTCCTACAGGGAAGCGATTACTAGGTTTCCAGGCTTTCTCATTCTCATCCTTTTTGACAACACTGCTTACAGTTCTTGACCTGCTTACCATCCCAAGCCTTTTTTCCAGCCAGAAAGAGCAAAGATGATCTGCAGTATTTGAGACTTGCAGTCACTGCAGGACTATCTCTTGGCATCCAGTTAGAGCACTGCAATGCAGCTGTGCGGCTCAATGAGGTATCCTTTCCCCATCCTTACCCTCTCCAGCTTTTCAATTTCCTTTTCCTTCACCAGCAACAACTTGGCATCAATACTTTCCCTTCAGACCAAGAAGTCTTTAACCACAAGCATTCCCATTGGTAGTTTAAAAAAATGCACAAGGGGTATTCTCATGGCGCTCTGTGACTTCTTGGGGGATTTACTTCCTACTTAGTATTATTTAACTCATTCTTTGCAGGCTATAGAGTTCGGTAAGCTTGCTTTTAATCAGTGCTTTATATGCACTGATCTGCATCCTAGAGTGGGATAATATTGGAAGAGATTTCCTAATGAAGAATGCAGTTTCTCTGACAATTGATCTATGCAGTACTTCCATTACCATTTAAACAATTCCTCTATTTTGCTGCCTGTGATATTAATAGAAAACTTTTGATTTTTCCTTTTTTCCCCAAATGACAGAGGCTGGAAAGCGATGAAGATATGACTTCCTTGAAGAGAGTGCAGAAGTGACAGACAGTGAACGATTGCCACCAAGTGGGAAAACACAAGACTGCATGACGTGCCTCATTGCACTACTTTACCTCTGCAGTTCTCTTAGGGAAAACATCTCTTCACCAATCATATTTATTCTGCCTCAGAAATATAGTAGTTAGTTGTGATTTTCAGATAATCATAGAAAAATCATTTGATAGGCACAGGTAAAATCTATGTATGTCTTTCATGTAAAGAACAATGTCCAGTCACATTTTTTTGTTGTCTTAAAACAAAGTATACTTTAAAAATATTGTATTTTTTTGAGGTACTAAACAGCCAATCTCATCTATGGGGTTGCACAGTTCAACGCTCTTTTAATGGAGGGGAGGTTTTCTATACTGTAATTTCTGGTGGGTTTAGTTAAAGCATTCAGAAACTGACGGGAAATTAAGATTGAAAGCAAGCCTATTTTTTTTCTCTGCAAATGTCATCACTTAAAACTTCCAATTATTGTTAGGTATGAGTTATTTGTGTTGGACAAAACTAATTAATAAATCCCAGCATTGGCCAAAATCCAAGACCATTGGCATTTTCAAATAGTCCACAGCTACTTTTTAATAGCCAGTGTATTTTCCGTTGGTGTGAAAAATCAACGGAATAGCCTATCTAATCCATTTGAAGGTCACAGACAGTTCCCCTTATTAATCACAGATGCAAAAAAAGAATGTGTGATGATAGAAAGATTGTATATCATGAATTTAAGCAATAACAAAGGAAATTTTACTTATGGATTTATTGTTGAGTGTTTGAAAGAACAAACATTTCCTAATGAAAGAAAAAAACGTGATGATTAATGGGGTACACAGAAGAATAATATTTAAGCAAAAAAATTACTGACTATATTCAAACATTATAGTTTTCCCTGAAAACATCAAAAAGTTCTATCCTTATTGAAACATCTGAAATGCGAATAAATAGTTGTAAATGGAATGTTGATCCACGACTGTAAGCCAAGGTTCTTTCTTACAAAAATAAATCCAAAATGGAAACTTTTTGAAATTTTTTCTTATGAAGACACTAGATAAAAATGAATGGCAGATCTCACAGTAAAAACTAGCATCCTCTTTTTAATCACAAATATGTAAGGTAAGTCGAAAAGCAGCCTTTAAACCTTTAATCTTTATTCCTGTTTAATTAATCTCTGGTTTTTAATCTTATTCCTGTTTTGGTGTAAGCACAAAGGCAAGCACGGCGACGCGTGCAGACAGGACATTTCGGGACATGGTTTAGCAGGGACGGAAGTGATGCGTTTACAGTCGGACTTCATGATTTGAAGCCCAAAAAGATGAAGGTCTTTTCCAACCACAAAGATTCTCTGTAAGCCGTGATTTGGTCAAGACGCAGGAGCAACGGGCCGCTGGACAAACCCAAGGCAGCCAGAAGCAGCTCACGTGCCTCCTGCACGTCCACCCGGCGGAAGTTGCTGCTGAGGAGAAGGCAGAGGCAGACGCGGACACGGACACGAGCCCCGCTCCTGCGCGGCACAGAGCCCTCGGCCGTCCTCCCCCACCACCCGCGTCCCGTACCGCGCATGCGCGCGCGGGAGGGGGCTGGCGGGAGTTGGGCTTCTCAGCGGCCCGTAGTTTCCCTGGCAACCGGCCGGAAGCGCGGCGGGGCGCGGCGCTTCCCGCGCGTTGCTGCGGCCTCCAGGTGAGGGGCGGCCCCGGCCCCGCAGCGGAGCGGAGCGGAGTGAGGGTCGCTGTGGCCCCAGCCCTGCCCCGCAGCCTCAGCGGTAACGGTTCTGTGAGCCCTTCCCTTCCCCTTTCCCGGCTGCACTGTGGGAGGGCTGCTCCTCTCCCGGGTGACTGAGCCGAGGTGAGGCCGAACCCTCCTTCCTTCCGTGCTGCTTTCCTAAGCGACTCCCAGCCATCACGCTCCAGACTTCGCTTTTTCTTCTTTGAAAGGTACCTTTTAAATGTGCTTCGTATGTTACTGTCTAAAGGTTTCTAACCTCTGCTTGTCGTCTTATAGTAGGATGTCTGTGTCCAGCCGTGTATGTCACTGGTTTGATTGATCGCTGGGCTCCTGCTGTCTGATCTTTGTAAATGTGTGTGGTTCTGTCACCCCTTGACTACGTTAGAGCTTTAATGGAGTTCGGAAGACTGAGGCCTCTTTATGAAAAGCCTTTTTTTTCCTGCTCTTTGTCACCTTTTCCTTTTTTAAAACACAGTTATTGTCAAAGTAGTGTTATTTATATCAAATGTATGCAGAAAGTTATTTTTTGCAAACTAACGAAATACCTTCAGTTTCTTCCTGGAATAGAAATTTGTTTTCTGTGTTCTTCCTTTGTTTCTTTACATTTCTGTTCTCTTACTGTTTCCACTTTGGTTTTTGTGTCCAGAGTCCCTCTGCTTACTCCTGTATTTGTTCCTTTGTCTTGGCCATTCACCAGTGCTTTAACTGTACCCAGCTACAGTCCAGGAGATCTTTTTGTCCTGTCCTCCCCCTCCCAATTCTGCGCTGCTTTGCTGGGCTGAGCATTGGTGCTGCTGTGATCCTTGTGGTCATCCTAAGGCAAACTGAAGCCAGTTCCACTTCTGCTGCATGTGTCTCACAACGGTAATAAAGGAAAGCAGCACTGGACTAGAAGATGTGTCGATGTGCATTCAAAAGATGGAGTGACTGGCTCCTCAGAATTGTGCAGTGCTCTGTTTAGGATATAGAGGGATAAGCACTTTTTTATAGTATGTTTATTCAGACTTTTTTCATCCTTTCTTCATGTGAATCTTTCGACTTGGGAATTCTAATCCTTAACATAGTATAATGCTGGAATGATTTTTTTTTCATCTTTTCTGTTCTGAAAAGTAATGTCATCAAGCGTCCGAATAAAACCGAAGACTGCAATACAGAAGACATCTTCTCCTTTGCCTTGCTCTCCAGAACCTGCAGCTAAACCACAGCCAAAACCTAGTGACAAACTGAATCCTAAAACTATTGATCCGGTATGTATAGGTGGCACAGAAAGGTTGGGGTGAGGAGGAGTAATGCAATACACTTCACTCTTATGAAAGAAATAGTAATATGTTTTATTGAGATGGATAGTGGTTTTAACAAGGTTTAATGGCAAGATGTGCTGTTACTTACTGCATAGAGGACAAGTTTATACAGAAGTTTCAAGGAGAGTTCCAAGGTTCCTCCAGTGGAGTCATGGGATTCACAATAGGCCCCCCTTGCTTTCCAGACTCCTCCTCAGGGAAGCTTGGGTGCAGCGGGATCCAGTCTTAGGCCCTGACTTGGTCAGCAGTTTATTTCTAAGGAATTATGTGCACAGTAGATCCTGGGTGCAATTTAGAAAAGCTTTCAAAGTTTTAGAAAATTCTTGCATGCTGTGTTCGTGTGGCTGATAAGGAAACTCTTAGCCTTGGGGACTGACCTTGAGGGGTGTCCCAGTTCAAGGGGGGATCCTGGCGTGCAGCCACTGCCTCGCCAAGAGGGCACAAGGGGCCCTGGGACTGTCCCCATGTTTATGGGGTAACAGGATTGACTTAGTCATTTTGTTTGTCAGCTGAATTTTGGCTGGCACATGTGCAGTTAGTCCTTGGCTCTTCTGCTGTTACCTTTTTAGTTTGCTATCAGCAGCTGCTGAATACGTTTCATGTACATGTGGGGATGTTTTTCATGAGGCCTTTTTGTAAGTGGTGCAGTGACTCAAGCCAAGATAAAGTCAAATCATGCATTAAGAATTTTAACAGAATATTAATATAAGTTCAGACACCCAAAAGACAGGAGTTCAGATGGCATGATATTCCTGTGCATATATGCTTTGTGATAAAATATATGGTCTGGAAAATAGTATTGAATGGTCATGCTAATAAAACCTCTCATAGTTCATATGCATAAGAAGGATATATGAGATAAAAATAATTTTGTGTAGATGTAGCTCCCCGTCTCATTTTCCAGCAAGGTCTCCCTAGATTCTTACCCAGTATCAGCTTTCCTACTAATTTCCAGTGCCCTTCTACTACTTTCTCAACATCTGCAGTTTCTCCCACATCTTGCCACCTCATATTTTTATCTGTACTCAGATCAGGCTGAAATGGAGTAGATCTGCCTTCTGCATATTGCTTATGTAGTAGTGACAAGAATATCAAAAGAGAAGAGATTCTTAATCTGTTAAGGAGAGAACTTATGAAACTTCAGTGATAACATTTGCATGAAAAAAATTACAAATATAAGAGGAATCTTCCATGAGGAGAGCACTGATTATTTGTTAATTTTTAAACCTTCTAAACCAGACAGTTTGGAAAGCAGTTTACTTATTGGTCTCTGATAAATTGTATTATTTCCATTCCACATACAGTTCTTTTTTTTTTTTTGATTATTTTTAAAATCATTGGATAAGTTATATTTTTGGTAAACTATAATTTACTCACATATTCAAAATAGCTATAAAATATTATCATTGTCAATGACACAGCTCTCCTTCTTCTCCATTTGTCCTTCCAGTTTGGTGATCATTCTAGAGCCCCTTCTGCCTTTGCTGCTATTTATGCTAAAGGTGGCGTTCCATGCAGGTAATGTATGGTTCATCTATTTATTGTTATTGTTATTATTTATTTATTTTTATTTAGTGTATTATGATTGGGTAGAATTAAGTAAATTGAAATAAGCCTGTTCAAAACTGATTAATCTTTAAAGATTGACTCATTGATTTCATTAATTTCTCAAAATAAAGTACAGTTCCCATGTTTGGAACTGTAATAGCTCCCTTTTAAACATTTCAGTAAGGAGAGCAGTGTGTTTTTTCAATTGTGTATCTAACATTATCATAATCTTGTAAACCAGTTGAGGATATTTCAGTGTGAATAGTGTTTCAATAAATTATATACTATTATATTCTAATCTGTTAAAACTTAATTCTGTACAATAGGTTAATGCATGGCGCAGTAAAGCACAGACTACAATGGGAACGTGTTCCTGAAACTCTGCCTTTTGATCCTCTTCTTATAACTTTGGCAGAGGTAAACTCATTTTTTCTTTTAAACATACATTTTTTTCCATATATTGCTGAAATGTTACATATTCAATTAGCTACATCTTTGTATGTCAACTACTGTGTTGTTTAATTGGTACTACTGTTGCACTGCTATGATTGGTGGTTTAGTCTTCTTTTTTCTTTCTTTTTTTTTTTAATCCTTTAGAGAGAAAAATGCTGTTAAGCTGTGTGTTTGCAAAAGCTAAGCAGTGTCACTACTTCTTCAGGATTCTACTAAAATAGTTGTAGGGGCAACAAATGTGTAACTTTTTTTCTGGAGATCTGGTTTTGAAGTTATCTAAATTAAATTGTATATAAGGAAATAAAAGCTAGGCTTTCTACTGGGTCTGTAGGAACCTTGTGGTTTAATAAAGTTGGAAATCTGCTTTTCTAAACATCCTCAAATAATTTGCTTATTCTTCCATTTCTATTGGAATCAGTGTAGATTCTAAAAAAAAAACTCACCTCTGGTGTCTGTGCATAGCCTTTTACAGATGAAAGACTCTTGATTGTGTAGTCACCAGTTCTTCACAGGGATATCCCCACTGTGAAATTTAGTGCCCATCACCAACCTAGCATCAACAGAACTCTACTGCAGGATGGTACAGACTAATTCAAAATCTTTGTAACAGTGTTAGATTTTTAACTTAATCTATTTTCTGATCATGGAACAGGCTTGTCAATGGCACCTGGCACCTTTTTTTTTTTTTTAATGAATAATTCACTGCTTATCTGATGTTATATGCAAAGGGTGGAAAAAGTATTATCCAAAAGAGATGCAGACCTATATCCAAAAGAGTGCATAAAACTCTCCTTCCTACACAGACTGTAAAGAACAAAAAGTAGTTGTTTCTTAGTTGTTTCTTTTACTACTTTACTTTGATCTATTTGTGGATTTGAAGATCCTTTTATAGACAGCCTTTTTTCTTTTGATCTAAAGACCACCTATTGAAGTAAGAGAGCTCTGCCCCATAGTTCAAACTAATTCAGTGGAAACAGAACACTGTTAACAAAAGGAGGAAAGTAAGTACTATCCAGGTCCAGGCTTCTGTTTTCTTAGCATCATTCATGACATTTATCATCAAATATGCTTCAAGAGTCTAAATGTTGAATCTACTATGGAAGGTAGAATATAGTGCATACTGTAGAAGGCTTTTTTTTTTTTTTATTAAAAAGAACTGTTAATACCTAAAGTGATTGAGAGCTCTAACTAAGAAAAAAAGAAAGCTAAAGCTTGTGAATCCTTGAGTTTTGCTACTCGGGTCTAGCAGTGTGTATTTGTACTATTTACAAGATTTTGCTGGTTTCTGTTCTTGCCCTGCCCCACTAGAAGACTTTAGAACACTTCTTTTTTTTTTTGTCAACCTAAAGGTAAGGCAATCACTTACAAATAGGGCCTATTCTTGTTCCTGGGCTTGTTGAAAAATGAGTTTGGGTAGGTGCGTTAAGGATCATGAAGTACAAGTATTGATTTAATTGGCGGTACTCAAAATGTGAGGTTTAATATTCAATATTTCAAAATAAAAATGAGTAAGAATAATCAGTGAGCCTGGTTGTTCTCAATGGATCCACATGGTGGAGTAAGTGTATTTAATGTTTTGAATTGATATAATAAAATCTAAACGTTATCTTGCTACTAGTGGGAGCATTTCTAATGGTGTTTCATTTAAAAATAAATTTAACTAAATTTAACATGTTTTGCATTTATAACAGGGCCTGAGAGAGACAAGACATCCCTACACATTTGTTTCAAAGGAAGGTTTTAAAGAATTGCTTTTGGTTGAAGATGCTGCTGAAAAAGCAGTTCCCTTGTTGCCTCGTCTGGTTCCAGTATTAAAGGCTGCATTGGTATGTCTTTTCATGGAAAGAGTTTCATACATATGTTTATTCTTGTGCCATTGAAGGCTACAGTGAAAAAATTCACGTGATAAACCTGTCGGGTGCCATGAGGGGAGGTGGGTGTTTTTTTTCCTCGTGTTATCCTTTTTTTTTTTTGTTATACAAATGTCTTTAGCTGTAAGTTCAGGTGAAAAACTCCTTGAATACCTTTGGTAGTAAGTCGGAGCAAATTCTGTAGAAATATTACCAATCTGACTGTGAAATACAGGCATAAATAAATGTTAAGTATCGTGGTGCTTTTTATATAGATATCTATAGGTATAGTGTATATAAATAACATTGATATTTATACATACTCATATAATAAGACATAAAGAAGAATTATATAAAGTAAAATGAAGATGCTAGGATAAATACTTACATGTTAAATACAAAGATTCAAAAATGCTGCAAAGGTGAAACAGAATATGCCAGTGAGAAAAAGGAATAATAGAGCTGAAATGTTTCATTGGTCAGCTGTATGACATTCCTTAAAAGTTTGTAACTTTTGTACTCCTTCTGAAACAAAATGAGAGAAAAATATTGACCTGGGTGGTACTCATTCTTGAATCTTTTTCATATGTTATTTTTCAGAGCCCTTTTTCTGGTTTAGGTACTTTCTTTAATTTTGATGTGCTTCAGTTTTGTTGTGGAGAAATGGAAGAAACCTTGAAAATTTCTTGAAATCACAAAGATAGATTGAAATGTAATAGATGAGGAATAATGTAGAGAGCACGGTTTTAAAGAGATTGTCCATTTATCTGAAGGTTATTCTTGAATAGGAATTTATTGATTTTATTTTTCTCTCCCCTTTGAAGGCCCATTCAGATGATGAGGTATTTGAAAGAGGATTGGATGCTTTAGTTCAGCTGAGTGCTGTTGTTGGCTCTTCTCTTAATGATCACCTTAAGCTTCTACTCACAAATGTAGGTTTTTAATTCTGTAATCGCAGATCATCTGTATTTTTAAGGTACTTTTGTTGAGATGTTTACTATAATATCTGCAGATATGGTGGAAGGCTCAACAGGTCCATGAAAAACATTGCTTCATATATTCTTGTGTGTAAGTAAGTCCATCATTCTTTAATATCATCACGATGATAAAATTCCAAGAAGCTCTAATAGTTAGTTATAAGGTAAATTGGAGAAAATGGAAGTGCTATTGCTACTATTTAAAGAAGACCCTGCTTTGAGCCTGAGCTGAAACAGACCCTATGTTGGAAGGAATGCTCATGTTTACTGTAAAAGGAAATTTGCATTTTAATGTGTATATATTTCAAAAACTTTAGGAAAGTTGCAATAAATTTATATAAGCAAATATATTCAGTGCTTTCAGGTTCTGTGTGAGGATTTTTTTTTAATTGTTATTATTAGATAGAGTAGGGCTATTGAAAATATTTTTGTACTGAATCCTTCTGTACATGTTCTTCCTCTGTCAGACTGGCTTTTCATGATTTAGTTTCCTGTGTGTGTTTTACTGCAAAAGTAAATGGTTTGAGGCACCAGTTGCAGAAGAGAATCTGCAAGAGTCATTTTAGAGTATTTCCACTGTAGAAAATAATTTTTATGCACATGAAAAATGTGTTAACTTTTAATATGGACAGCATTCCAAGAGTGACTTCATTGTAAGATTAATACATATTTAAGACTTACTTGGTTAAAACAAGAAGTCTTTGAATAAGTGTTTATATGACTGTTCTTTGTAAGAGTTAGGAGCTTTCTTTGGATTTAAGTTTCTCAGCAATTAACATTTTTACTTTTTTTTTTAATCATGACTTAATTCCTGTACTCTGGCATCAGTTAGTGTAATATTTTTTTCTCATTTTCCTAAAATAAGATGAAGTAACATTACAAAACAGAAGTAAATTGGACTTTTTGTATTTACTGTATTACATTGTTCAAGTTTTTTTTTAACTCTTCAAATAGCTTTCAAGGAGATTAATGGACAAGAAATTTAAAGAAAAAATCACTACTGCTTTACAAAAGTTGGAGCAATGTGGTGGACAGGTGAGTGGGCAACATGATTATTGTGTAATCCACACAGCTGAATGGACTGCACACAGCTGAATACAACTTTACCAAGAAAACTCCATCTTACAGAGTAATACTCCCATGAAATGCTATTTTTTCTATGTGACTACTATTCATATCGTATAAAACACAGGATTTTGTACTGTTGTCATTTGGGGTGATATATTCCATTTCATAATGAAATAGTTTTCATCCATTTGAGGTATTGAATGATGACAGATTTTTTTTTTTTTTAATCTTCTTCACTTGTATTCCCTGTTGTTTGAATCTCTAAAGAGCAGGGATGAAAATGTAGGTCTAACACCTCTGAACCTGTGTGTCTCATCAGTAGACACCTAAGCAGGTTGTCCGGAACTCCAGCGCACCACTCCTGTATTTAAAATCCTTCTTATCTCATGCCTGTATTTATATCCAGTTTTAAATGTGAGTTTACATAGCCTTTCTCCCTTGGATGTTTATTGTGCTCTGTTAGTCAGCTTTCCTCATCATGATGCTTCATCTCTCAGTCAATTGTTTTCATTCCTTCTGGCAAGAAAATTATCATCAGTAAATATTAACTTCTTTGGTTTTTAAAAAATCTCAGTAAATATTAACTTCTTTGGTTTTTGCTGCTTCATTTGATAATAGGGAAGATAACAAAGTTGTGAATTATGTAAATACTGCTTCATTTGATAATAGGGAAGATAGATAACAAAGTTGTGAATTATGTAAATCTAGACACTGTATGACTAGGCTATGTAATGCTAGTGTTCCTTCTTTTAAATTTGTTGTATTTTCATCAGCAGGCAACTGTTGCTATCATCAAATCAAAAATTCCAACCTATTGTTCGGTCAACTCTTGAACAAGACTTCCACAGTGATTTGCACTGCAAGGTGTTGCTTGGAGAGAAACTGCCTATGATCATCACTGACTGACTTGGGGTATCGTATTCTGTTACACTAACCCTAGCTCTTCTGCAGCGTGAGGGAGAGTGGGAAAAGTCATACCTGTGTGTGAAAATGTAATGATGGAAGACCATTTAAAAAAAATATCATTGCACTGACTGGTGTGTGTTTGTGCAATTCTGTGCTTGTAATTAGACTAACTGGTTGGCTATTTTTTCAAAAGTATAGTCAATATTGATTTGTATTTTGTTGTAAATGAAATTCCCTTTAATAGTTCTGCAGTGTTCGAAATGTTTCCTGTTTGTGTGATGTAACATAATTGGACTAATTACTTAAATAGTAGCAAGCTTAAATCAAATGTGCATACTTATATTTGAAAAACCTAACTGTTGCTTGTGCCACAGACATAGATGATCCCAGTTTGGATTCATCAGCATAGATGTACATCTACGAGAATTCACCCTGACTTTTGTAGCGTCAGGTTTTACAGATGTGAAGCTCAAGGTGCAGCTAGGTAGCAAACACTGCAGAATGGAGCCCACTCAGTGCAGCAGGGTTCTCAGCACACTGTTCCCAGAGCCAGGGAGACTATGGAGAGCACAGCAGAAAGGCATTAAATGCATCAGGTTGCTCCATGTAGCTGCAGCCTAGGTTTTCTGGACTAATTTCAGGGAGCTGAATATAAGCAGAGAGAACTGGGGATTTTACACTATATTCCCCTGCACACAGTTTTGTAATGCTGCAGATATGCTTGGGACTAGCTTCTGGATTCAGCCTTGGAAAAGCTAGTAACCTTTGCAATGTGGAAGCCATGGAGAAGCTTGTGCTAAAGACAATAAAAAGACTGCAGAAGCCGACTTACCTGGTTGGTAAGCCCAGTAGGATGCAGTATTTGTCTGTGATCATACTGGGGCTTGACTGCAAAAGGCTGCCCAATAGGCACGTTGTCCTGGATTATCCCAGGAGGGAGAGCTCACTAAAGTAAGTAACAAAACTTGCTGTGCCATCTCCTCCCTGTTCCCTGAGGAAAATTAAATGCTTTGGTCATGTAAAAGTATATTTTTAGAATGTTTGGAAAATTACCACTGGGTGGTTATTGAACTGTACTAAGAGTAGTTAAGATGTATGTATTTAAATTTTTAAAGCTAAATTAATTTTGTTAATAAAAATGTTAAATCTGAAGAAATGTGGCTATTTAACAACACAAAAAGCAATCATTCTCTTTTTCTTTGTGTTTATTTTTTTTACAAAATGTGCACATTTAGTTTACACAAACACGCTACAGCAAATTTCAGGTGTACATGGATTGTACTACTCTTATTCTACACTGGTGATAGCAGAGCAGCCTACAACATGCCTCTTAACATCCCATCTCTACACCAGAATAGATACCTGATTTATTTTGCAAAAGAATGTTTTTAGCATTCTTTCTTCTATTTTAGTCCCCCTTCTCATTTTCTGCAGCACTGTCACAATGAAGATTGACCTATCTCTGATAGCATTTCATATACTTGAAAGTATTGGCATATAAAATTGCTGGACAGTAAATCATAAAAAAATAAATGGGGATGGGAGGGAGTCAGAAACAGTGTTATGTTTTAAATACACTTTTTAATCTTTCTAGGTTCAGAAAGTGACTTTAATCATAACAATTTGATTATTGTAAAAAATGTAGATGTAATTGATTATATAGCTTAAGTTTCAATTTCTTCCTATTCCTTTCTAATAATTTAAGATGAAACAGATGTTAGCCTGTCTAGCATCCAGTGTTAGTGCTACTACTATGTACTGATACTGATCCTAACTGCTGAAGTTGAATGGAAGCTTCAAAAGAACTTTCTGCCTTTTTCTTCATTAAAGGCAGCAAGACACATACATATGAAACCAATACTAAGGTCTGGTTGAGTTTTCTTCAGAAGGGTCAACTTACTTAGAAGATGCTTAATTTTAAGCAGAGAACTGACACATCCAACAAGAATTAGAAATACAGTATATCAGACTCCTGATGTAAATGTCATAAAAAATTAAATGCAGATTTATTAGCTTATATGAATGATAGAAGCTTACTAGCAGTAAATCTACTTCTGTCTGTTTCTTTTTCTATTTTTTGTTATAAAATGGTTCTTCCTCTCATGATTTGTTCTGCTTTTTTTCAAGAGGAGAGAAGCAAGTCAAAGGTGGAAGGCCATTGCAGGAAGATGTGCATTGCACATTGATTATAGCACTTTAACTCAAAGTATTATTCAAAAAAAGAATGAGAACTACACCCTACAAATGTGGAAAGAAAATACATGGTAATGCCTCTATAAATTAGAAACTAATGGTTAAGAAATAGAGTCAAACAGCTTGAGCTGAATCCAGTACAAATGAGTAGCAAAACTAGCAGTTTTTAATCTCCTTGTGATGGTATCTATTTTATCTAGGTGTTAGACAATAATAAAGCTGTGTATGTCTGGTCCTATTTTTGTCTGGCTTTGGAGTAGAAAGCTGACTTTGTTTTAACAATCATCTTCAAGATCTGTTGAAGTGATAAATTATATAACAATTGGAAAATTGGGGAGGTTAGTAATAAAAAATGCTTATTTGCATAATACATATCTCAGTGTTAAAGCTGAGTAGTTTTATTTATGATAAATATGGGAAATCCAACTTTCAGGTAATGTTGCAGAATAGCTCTTATTTGTCCATTAGTTGCTGAGCTAATAACATCTTCATTAAATCACATTTTCAAAGAGCTGCATGGAACGCATTATGTTCTCATCCTGAAAAGAAAAAAGAAAAAAAAGAAAGGTAAAACAAAAATCAAGTGCCGTGATGATGATCAAATGCCAGAAATGTTACTGGCAAATATCTGTAGTAAAATTGGGTAGAACTAACTGTATTTTAATTAATAACAATATCTGTTTCTCAGCTTGTTTAGAGAAACTGTTAGAAGAAAAAGGCCATTGAGATAGTTGTAGGTGTTATTTAAACCAAAAACAAATCTTTCAAGTATGTATTATAGTTCTAAGAAAATCAAGTGTAATATTTTGGATATTTGGAACTTGTATCCAGTATAACATAAAATACTGTGTAGACAATAAATACACAAGGAATAGTTGCTTTATCTGAAGTGTGAATTGGGAATCATTACAGAAATGTATGAAATTGTATTGCATTTTATAATATGTCATTTTATAATATGTAAGTCTTTCTGCATTTCGGGAACATTTTATCAAGTAAGGAGAAATGAGTGATTTTAAAGTCAGGTATGTGTAGCATGCACTAAGAATTGGTTAATTCCCCAATTACCACTGCAGCACTCTGGCTCCTCAGCTTCCATTTTCTTTGTGTTCACTCTGAGCAGTGTTCACTGCTTCCCAATGCTACATCTGCTATCTGATTGTATTGGATAGATAACGAAGTTAGCTACTTCAAAGATATGCATAATGTTTACTGAAGCATCACTCCATATTGTTCCTCACAGAATGTAACTCAGCACAGCAGTCAGGAAAAAAAAATCTGAGAGGTATTATCTACCTCTCAGGGTATCAAAGACAATGTTCACTTGTAGTAGCCCATGTCCAGTGACACTTGAGGATCAACAGCACCGGTGCATTCAGGAGCAGACTGCAGGCTCATTTAGCAATTGCTGATTTCCATGCTATGGTCCTCTTCTTTAATTTGACTGCACACCACTTACTTAGGTATGCAGTCAGGATGAGGGACTGAGTTGTCTTTAATTATAGGAAATAAGTAAGGCTGACTTGGATAGGATATTAATGTTTCATGAAAGAGATGTGGAAAAAAGTCAAACTTCGCAGAAGGGCTATCATAGACTCAAGGACATAGTATGCTCCACTACTGAAAAGAAGCTGTGTTTTCTTTGGTACACTAATGTTTCCCTGACACATGATCAATATTAACTTACAATTAAATAATTCACTGGTCAGTGTAGATGCTGATTTGCTTTCCAGAAAATGACAACTCTGAGTAAATTTCTTGATTTCAAATAACTTTGGTTCTATCTGTCATCACAAATGATGCTTTAAGAAGAAAGTGATCTGCATGCTATTTTATGTGTATAAACTTATCAAAGCAATATCTAATTTTGAAGAAAATTATAGAGATTAATACTTAGCAATTCATGTGAAATTTACTAACTTACTGGAATTAAAATAACTATTTCCAATGCGTTGTTTTGAAACACTGATATATCATTGCAGATCATTGATTGATGCAAGGTTAAAACGTGTGGTTTAACCAGAATAAAAAATAGTTGTGACCTGAAGAAAAGATTGACTTTCTTCTTGCTTTTAAGTAGCAAGGAGTAGCGTAGACTTATTTCATTCAGGCTTTGCCAAGCTTGCACCTTATTTGGTGCTTTACAAGCTGATTTTATTTATTTTAGAGGCAGGAAGAGTTTGTATTATTCTAGGAAGTAAATGTTTCTATTGCTGAAAGAGCTGCAGAGATTTCATCTGATCTATATAAGCATTTCAGCCTCTTAAGAACAACTTTTCCTGAACTATTCTTTAAATTACAACCCCCCACAAATTCTAATTACTCCTTGTTTCATAAGGCATAAATAGTGACAATTTTGAGCCAACTATTACATTTGGCAATATTGAAAGTAAAGTTGCACTTTCCCTCCGGTTGATGACAGATTGCGACTCATGAGTTGAACAGACTGTAAAGGCAACTGCAGTGTCATTAAGTTATTTACAAATTTTTTTTTTTGTCCACACATTGCATATTTGCTGAACTTGGCAATGTAAACAACATGCACTGCATTTAGAAACAGTGTTTTGACACCTCCTACTCATTTTCCAGGATATGTATCATCACTAACCAAACTACCAGTTTTCTAACATCAGCTCCATTTATGTGAAGTTTTGCTCCTTGCATCCAGAAGACTTATAAATGCCTGGCCCTTAGTCAAGTGAGAAGAGTGTTCTCAAGAAAACATAGACTTGTCATAATAGTTGAAACACAATATCTTTTAGCATCTCTTGCTTTATCTTTAAAGGCAAAAGTTTAATTTACACTTACCAAAATCAGAGATGTGCGTCTACTCTTTTCGATATTTTTTCTGAATGATTTTTCATAATTGTTTAATGGTGCCTAAATCAAGAAGTTTGGGGATCTTTGCATTTTTCCAATGAGGCAAAGGACCCAAATGAATGGACTTTACCAGATCAGGCCTAACTTCTAATTTTGAAGTGAACTCCAATTTTGAGTGATTTTGTTTTGTTTTTGTTTCTCGCCCCCACTCCTAAAGACGGGCACTTAAGGCTTCTTTGCTGTATTCTGACTAGCCTTGGAACCCATCAGCATTGTGCATGGATTTGGTTGGAAAAACACCAACACGCAGAAAACACCAATTTCGGGAGCCTTTTTCTCAGGAGTACCTTTTAGTCATGCCCCCTGACGTTCCCTTATGTCTCACACACACTTTACTCCCTTCGCCTCTGTTTCTCATGGTGCTGTTGCAGGTGAGAGGATCAGGGTTGTTTTCCATCAGCACCAAGCAGCAAAAGGAGACAGTGAGAGCAGCCAAGCAAGGAAATGGGTAGGACTTCATGGCTCGCACCACTATTAAATACTCATGGCAGATGACATATTTGGGTGCAAACTCCCATCTGCTGTGAAAAGACTGGAAGCCGAATGCTAGCTTTCTGCATCAGTCTTGTTCCCACTAGGATATTAGGAAAGGCTTTTCCTACAGTTGTGGTCTAAAAAAAAAAGTTCCTGCATTTGCGAGAAGCATGATCTTGGAAAGGCTGAAGCTGCATTAACAGAGCACACCTTCACATTTCTTAAGGGCCTCAGGTGCTAAGGCCAAATTTGGTTTATAAAACCAAATCAAGATACAGATATGAATTATGCACTTTACTGCTCAAAACTATTACTATCAGATCAGAGCTCAGTAGAAAGATAAAATACTTAGGCAGCAAAATATTTTTGGTTTTAAAAAATAATTCCACCTTTGAAGATAAGAACAAGTGAAGGTAAAATAAGCAGCAAGGTGATGACAGAAGAGTATCTCTGTCATGTAGAGATTTAGGGAGCATCTCTCGCATACTTTCTGAATACTTTGATGAGGCAAATGAGAAATCTAACAGATCAGAAGCTGTGAATCACACAGGAAAAAGAATTCCTTACTGAAAATATTATTTTTCTTAAAAATTAATTGCTGAGCTCATCACCATCACTGCTACTGTAACCAGATTAATTTTTCACTTAATTCTCAGAGCTCAGCTGGGAAAAGAAGAGGAGTGAATGTCATCTGTTTCTGGTGAGCAATCTGCTTCAGTAGAGCTGTTGCCTTTCATTCACATTGAACAGAAATCGGAAACTAAAGCCATGCAATACAGCACCAATAACATAAAAGACACTCCCTGCAGAACCTTTGCTAAGGATATGCAGAACAGCCACAGCTAGTTAAAGCAGACATTTTCTTTCTTTTATACCCCAAAGTCAGTGGATTAAAACTGATCAAGGAATTGCTTACTGTGTTACTGTGATGCCTCTGTATCTTGCTTTTAAATTTTGGGGGCAATAATAACTTTAACTGAATAACTACAGAAGCGTACAAAAATAGGCTGGGTCCAGAGAATCTTTTTAACATCCTGCTCAGCTTTCCATATTTGAAATAGTTGGAAGCCTATAACTGATTTTATCTTGCTAGTCTTGTTCTTTCCTGCCTCTTGTCTACCTTTTTTGTAGGAGGTAATAACAATATACAGAACCTGTTGCTGATCTTGGTTAGCTTCATATTAATCAGAGTCAGCCTAACAAGGCTAACGTATCAGTTGCAAACTACTGTGATTCATTATATTTCCTCACTGTAACAAATAGAATTGGTTTTATGCTGTCGTATTTATTTGCATAAAATAATCAACTCCAAGCCCATTTTAATCACTAGATCTGATGTGACACTTTACAGCACGTTAAAGCCTCTTATCATATCAAAGACATTATCACTACTTTGTACTGTGTCCCTTTTTCTTGCATCTCTTCTAACTGATAAATTGACCAGTGTTCCTTAATTTTTTTTTTTAATTCAACTTATCTTTCTTCATGTGATCTCCTGGTCTGAGCACAAGCAAGTTCCTGAAGGTCAGAGTGAAAACTGGCCATAATTCAGCTGTAGTAATTTATTCCTTCCTGGATCAAACAACTTTCAGCAGTTGAAGGAAATGAACAGCCACCTGGGTACGTGGTGCAAGTGTAAACACTTCCAACTAATAATTACAGCCATGAAAAGCCTTGTCTGCTGTTGCTGCTATCCAACTCTTGGCAAGCTCCTTGCAATCTCCCCCTTTTAAGGCCACATGGCCTTTGACCGTGACTCAGAACTTGAGAAACACCCCTATAGAAGATAACTTTTCATATAATATTCTTTTTAGTGTGAATCTGCTAATTGTAATAGGAATATGTTCTTCAGCAAGAGCAGAAGATAGAAATAAATATTTAGCTGAATGTAAAGAAACTATTGTTATCTGCAAACAAAATGCAGTTTTATTGGAAGATACAGAGGAAGCAAACACAGTATTCTAATTATAATCAATGAACAGCTGTGTATAGCATCTGTTCCACACACGCAAGTCAACAATTTGTTCCATGGTCTAGTGTTTTTGTGCAATGATGTACACACACATTGTACCTTAGGAAAATATCATCCTTGGTGTTAAGATTACCATCGGTATCACTCCAAAAATGGACCCTGTAGCACTATGATATGTTTAGCTAACAGATGTGAGTAACTGCAGATTGAATACTTATCATGAGGTACTTACTTTTTGGCAGCTCTCAATGAATTCATCTATGGTAACTACTCCATCTTTGTTTTTGTCCATTTTCTGTTCAGGAAAAAAAAAAAAAAAAGCATATATGTTTATCTTCCTGAAATCCTACATAAAACAAGGTGTTTTTTTTTTTTTTTTTTTTTTTGTCTTTTCAGTTATTTGGCAGCCTAGGAAACAAATGAGCTGAAGTACTGTAAAGAAGCAGTAAGTGATGCAAGCTGCTTATGTGAAAGGAGTGGCAACGGGTAATGGAATAAATGACTTGAGATGGAGGCACATGGAAGGAAAAAGATATCAAGAATGATACACAAACTGTTATCACCATGAAAACCTTTCCATACTTGCCAACAGAACACTTTTTCCCATCATGTCCTTGTCTGACCCACCTGGAAAAATGTTTCCACATGTTGTCTAGGTGCGTCCTCCTTGAGAACAGGATAAGTGCATTTCCCCATCATATCATATATTGCTTTCATGATATCAAGCATTTCCTGGAGAGAAAAAAAAAACAGTTTAATGTAAAGTGCTTTGTAGATAGTACTTTGACTTAGGGAAGAAAAATGATTTTGGGCATTTGCCTTTTAGAACAAAATTTTGAGAACGTGCCTGTGTACCTCTGTGATTGGACAGCTTCAAGAGCAAAATATATTCTGTTTTCTTAGAAATTCTGAACACATTAAATCAACTTTAAAAGTTTGTGTAAATGAAATTAAAAAGATACATAGATGTTTATGATCTAAAAAGATGTTTCTGATATTAAATGATCTAGAATGTACAAATACATTGATTGTGGAAAGAATCTCCTGTGTTCAATTTGCATACATACCTTTAAAATGAGAAAATCAGTTAATTTTTAAAAGTTTATCTGTTAGGAAAATAATGTTATCATCTACTGCTAATTTCATAATTTTGATGAGCTCTTCTGAAAACATTTTTTCTTTGAAGGCAGGACTAATATACACAACCTCTTGTCATTACAGTTATTAGCGTAAAAGTAGACTTTACCTCTTTAGTTATATATCCATCCTTATTTATATCATACAAATTGAAAGCCCAGTTCAGTTTCTCCTGCACTGTCCCTCGGAGTAGAATTGAGAGACCCTTAACGAAATCCTAAATAGAAACAAGAGGTCCCAGTCAGTTTGGACTTGAACAGTTTTTCACAATATTCAAAAATCCAGCCTAATAATTTCTTCAGAATCACATGAAAGTTGAAAAGTTGATATTGTTTCTGTTTATTTCAGTTGACACTAAATGCTAGGCTTTGCTTGATGTTTTAATAAACATAAGAGTCTAGGCTCTGTCAGTTATAATTAATAGATTAATACACTAAAAATAAACGATAACTTTCTTTTGTTATTGCATTTGTCTTCTGAAACGCCTTACACTAGTAGTTCCTGTTGAACTTAATGCCAGGGAAAAGCACTTCCCCATGGTGTAATGGGCTAGAACAAAGCTCAAGTGGAGCTTTGATTAATCTAAACACAGGAGACTGATTTTTGGAGAACTATCCACTAAGGAACATTAACTTCTCAACACATCTATAGCCTGTTGTAAATGGAATATGTGGTTCCTTTTAGAGCAGCCTGCTGCAGCAACCTTCAAAACTTCTCATGTGCTGCCCTATTCTATAGAAATTAAATGTTTTATTGAAAATATAGTAATATCGTAATATAATAATATTACTATTTATTATGCATCTGCAGGCCACTTCCATGGTGCAGTGCTCTATTTCTGTATTCCATAGAAATAAGCCAAATAAATGAGATGATTATTTAAATTTAGGTTTTGGTATAGGTAACTTGACAAACTATATAGTCATATATATATACATAGATAGGTTGTATATATATAGACTGTATCTATATATATAAAGACAGAGAGATACATATAGTCAACTATAACTAATGGGATTTGTCCGGCTATGTTCTTGACCAGCAAGCAAGGAATTATAAGTGTTAACATAGTCTCAATCCATCAGTGCTAGAAACACATTTTTGTTTCATAATTAATACTATTTAACAGCATAAACCTCTTTTACATTTAGTAAGCATCTTCCAGATAGGAGAAAATATCAGTTAGGATATGTTGTCATCTGTTTTCTGCATACCCACACATTTGCAAACCATCAAATATTTATTTTTAAAAGAGTTTATTTTTTTCTAATCCCCCTCCCCCACCTTCTCGCTGATAAGCTTGTAAATCCATAAACCCATGAAATGATCCCCACGATAGATCAACAGGAATACTACCGAGGCTTACATTTTAGTATATATTTCTCCAATGTTGTCAAAGAAAGGCAGAAAGTCTTAAAGTTACATTAAGGCAGAGACTATAAAAGCTGAATAATTTCCATCGGCGCTGGCAAAGGTTTGATGTCCCACAGTCCATGGGCGCCCAATGCAGCCAGGCACACGCAGGTACCGCCTGCACATGGTCTGGCAGGCACAGCAGCCCCGGCCTTCCCACAATTCAGCCGGTTTGCTCTGGATTTTCTTCGTTTGTCATAAATTTCTCTGTTACGGGTACATTTGCCCTCTGGGTTAAATGAATACATGAATGTTGAAAGAATTTTACTCAACTTTTCTTGTCAGTATTTCAATGACTAATTGAGGGTCACAGGGTTAAATCTCCAAGCAGCTCTTTAACACTGTGCTATTAAATACTAAAATGTTCAAGAAATTCAGAACAGATTTGATCACATTATAGTGTTAGAAATCTACCTTTTTACATTCAGTAACATTTATTTCCATCTTTCCTGCACTGTTTTACATTTTTGATACAGCTTTTCCTGTAGTCCTCTGTAGAGATCTCTAATAACTGTTTATATCTCAGGACTCAGCAACATTTTTATATTTATTTTCATCTTCAAACCATATCTAATTTTATTTTTCTCTCTCCCCTTTCTGACGCACCACGCCCACGTTACCTGGCTTCCTAGCACCATTTATATCTCCATTCACGAGCCAAACCTCCTATCATCAGTGTTAAAAAACATACATTATCAAAAGTTGACTTTATGCTCTTTTGCACAGTGTCCTCTCCGCTGTTCCCATTTTTATAAAGACTTTGTCCTTTTAAAATCCAGAAAAACTCAAAACCTTCCAGGTGGGTGCTCTAAACTTTATAATGACAGTCATCTCCATTCCATGTTGCATCTAGCATAGGGTCATGAACCAGCTCTCCAGCATTCTATTTAACAGATGCAGATGCGTTTTTCTCTCTTCTGTAGGCATCAGGTCCTTGGAGAGAGAGGGATTCTACTTTTTAACAGTTCATCATTTCCAACTCTAGCTTCCTGAAAAAGCTGAGCCTGGTAGTACCTGTGAGAACCCCAAATAAGTCCTGAATTCTCCAGTGCCTGACTTGCATCCTACAAGAAATGAGGATGTCTTGGTGAAGTATTGCAAAGCAAGCATCCTAACACCCACGCTAGAACCTGCTGCCTCTGTATTCTTGATACACATTTCAGTTCTGCATTAGAGCTGAACAGAGTCTACAGGCCTCCTGGTTGTCTGTTGCTTGGGAATTTTTTTTTTTTTTTCCTGACAACGATTAATTATCACTTAACAAAGTTGTTGATGACTCTGATTGCTTCCTTGGTCCTTGGGGCGAACTGCTCCATTAAGTAAAAGCTTAATTTTGTATGATATAAAATCCATAGGAAAGCTTTAAATTAATCCAACTGATCATGTGTTCATTTATGTCTACTTACATTTTTGGATTTAGCTCTTAGCATTTTGGAAAGGACTCAGGCAGTGAAATTTGGGGATGGATGCCTATATATTCCCAGGAACAGTGGAGCACTGAAGCAATAAAGACAATGAAGGGCACTGATGGCCTGGAGGAGCTGCTGCTAAGAGGAAAAAATGCCTCTCTCTAGCTATGTTATACCAAATGTGTTTAAAATGCTTATGAGCATTATGGCCCTAGAAAAAATAGTTTATTTCATATAGGACATGAACAGGATGTTTTGTGTTTACTGCAGAGAATGACACTTAGATACATTCATGAAACTGCTACTCTCATGTTACTATCCTGGAGATAACGAATATTCATTATACTTAGTATTAAGTAAATACCAAAGTTACGTTTGATCTCAAGCAACACAAAAGAAGGCATAACTAGCTCGGTTAATTCTGAGCTCTCCTATGCATTTGAGTTAGCATATTTGTTACTAAAGTTATTAATGAAGAATTCTCTTGAGAGAATAACTAAGGCATAAAGCCATCAGAAAGTCACCAAGAATTTCATTAAGATATAATCATATTTGGAAAAAAAGATTGTTTTTTTTCATTATTTACTTAAAAACGACAAAAATCTTTAAATGTCAGCATTGCACTTGGGCACAGCTTTATGTTTAAGGCACTGAGAATTAGTGGGATTAGTGAGAATTCCACTGAGGATTAGTGGGATCTCTATCTAAAGGAAACCAAAGACATTGATTTGAATATGTGCATGTGGGTATAATATGCTTTAACTTTGTTTCTTCAAATAATTAGACTTAACTTTCCTGACTGTCACTGTGTAAGTGGCTTTGAGATCCAGATCTTCAGGACTATTTATGTGCTGCTTTACAACTTCTAACATCTTAACACATCACTGAGAAACCTCAACATCCTCAAATTTGTCCCTGAGTTTTCCCATAATCTTAACATTGCCTAGGATTAGACCAAATCAAATAAATTGAATTTGGATTCCACTTTCCAACTAAAATTAGTATAAAAGAGATTCCTAAACACCTGTTCGGCAGAGATTCCTAAACACTTCTGTGGTTTTCACCACTAGATGCAAAGTGTGCAGGTGCTAAGACCAGAGGACCTGAAATCTTACCTTACCCAGCTGCCTAGAACTCTAATTTCTTACGACCAAAACTCCTATGACACTTGTGCGTCTGCCAAGAGGACCTTCCACCTCTTCTAATTCTGCTAAATGTACCTGAGACTTCATTTCCATTTATTTGCTGCTCAGCTCTCCAAAAAAATGGGCCTGCCTTACACACAGTTCTTGACCATCAGAAATTGTCAGAAATAAACACTGGACTAAGTCTTCCACAAAGTGAAAAAAAAGAAAATAAGGAGGGATTGGGAGACGAATGCCCGTTTCATTTTGCTTTAGTTGTTACGATATTTGTGCCCAAGCGGAATACCTCCTCTCACATTTATGTGATGGCAACAGAACGTGAACCCAGTTCACTAACATGCCAGAAGGGCCTGTCAGCAGCTGGGCCACTGGGTTCTTAGAAAGCATGTTTATTCCTCACATTAAAGTAAACCCATTTCTTATAACTAGTGGAATGTGTTAGTCTCCTAAGAAAACATGGATAAAGCTGAAGAATTGACACAGTCATTGGACAGAGTTGGACCCTCTCATGGGACAGGTTTGAGCAGCTACTTCCAGGAATATTTATCCTTATGATAAGTAAAATAATTTTGGCTAGAGAGATTGAATATTATCAAAAATATAGAGTTAGAAATGAGCAAAAAATTAAGTATATAGTGATCTCACTAAGCAATTTCATCCACCACTCCACTGTGGATTTAAGTTATAGAAGGTTGTGCTAAACTCTAACACCTCATTACTTATGGTTAAAATTTTAAAGAAAAAAAAAAGGCAAAATTCATTCATTGATAACTTTCTTCATTCTCACAATTCCAGCTACTACAGCATAACTAGAAACATGAGAGTACAATAGACAGAAGATACCATTCTTACCTACCAGTACCAATTTAGGTCTCCATGTCCATTTTACACAGTAGAGATCTAAAGAATATTTTTTCTTCATAGATTATAGTTATATTAAGTTATATTTATTATTACACCACCCTTTGTTATAGAAAGCATCTTGGGATCAATGGTTAGTTATTCTCCAAATTTTTAAAGCACCTCTTTTTCTCAAATTTTTGCACTGACGGGAGATAGAAAATGACATTATGTATTGGTATTAAAAGAACATGGCATAATTGCATATAGGATAAAACCTGAGCAGAAAAGAAGATACGGGATTGTATTCCTCACATTTCATCTGCTTACTCAATTCACAGCTACTTTCACATGTTTAGAAAAAAAATGCATTTTTAACAGGAGCAGGAGGATTTTAGAATCCCTGTCATACATTTATAAGTAAGTTTTATGTGGCTACATGTTACAAAGACCCAGAACTAGGTTATTTTGACAGCAGTTGAGTTATGATGGATTTACATTTAGTGTAAATGAGATCAAAGTCTGGGTCACTCTGTCTGAGAGGATATTGAACAGAAGCAAGCTGCAGAGTGTCTCTTCTTGTATTGAACAAACATGACTTCTTTTGTTTCCTATTTTCTTTTCTCCCAAAGTACAAGGAGCTGCACTCTGAAATACTCAAATCCCTTAAAAATGCTTTGCATCTTCTGCGTTTTCTTAAAGCTTTCTTTCTGAGATTCAAATGTCAATAAAATAGTTCAGGAAAGATATAAAAAAAATCTCATCTTGTTCTCACATTTCCCAATGATAGAAAGTAACAGCAGAAATACTTGTCAAAAACTGGTAACTTTTCCAGTATTGCCTCTGCTGATTTGAGCAGAAGAATACCTTGTGGAATTAGCCCCTGTATAAAAGGTGAGGATAAAAGCTGCATTCCTGCTTGTAGTTTCAACAAGCACATGGGGGTTCCTGGTTTTGTTTGCTCGTTTGTTTTGTTTTGTTTTTTCCAAATAAACTCAAATAATCCCCACCAAGACACTTTGCCTATATTCCCAGCTGAAGTTTAGATTTTGTAAACACAGCTTGGCAAAGGCTTCTCCCTTCATGTTACATCTATAACAAAATGTTGAAAATGTTTTAAAAAAAATCAACTCTCACAACACCATTCACACAAGTAAATCAGTAATAGGATGCTTAAGCAAATTGAAAGTGGGTGTATTTATTTAATAATAAACTAAGTTGAAGCTTAAGCATATTATCTGTTCATTAACAACAACAACAAGCACAAAATATGACAAAGCCAGCATATTCTTTTTCAGGTGAAGTGAGTTTTTCTTTTTTTAATTCTGTAGTTTAAAATAATGGCTTTTTTGCTGACACTTGTATGCCTTGTTGTCACCTACACTAATGCAGGGAGTTGCCAGCGTTGATATCAGACTTTAGCAAAAGAAGACTGGGCAAGTAAGGGGAGGAATATTGAACTTTAAGTTCCCGTGCTTTTAAATACAAATGCACTATAGCCTTTTTTTTTTTTTTTTTGTAGGGACTCCTTCTAGAAACTAATAGTGTGCACGAGCAATCTTTATTTCGCTGCACAGACCACCCTGACATCAGCTGGAGATCTTAGTCCTTCCTACCATACCAGACCCAATTAAGATCAAGTATTCCTTTATGTACCTTGCATATAAATTGACTTTTAAATGAACAAATTTATAAAAACATAGTGGCATAGTTTGGGTTACAGTTTTGGGATATACAACTGTGAAATAATAATGACGTTTGTTAATACAGTGGAAAAAAAAAAGAGACTTGAGCTGCATAGGCTAAAGTATTAATGTGAACCACACACACAAAAAAAGAGAAAGCCAAATAAGACTTAATTGCAAAAGGGGGCAAAATATTCAATTGTAGAGAAAGAACTAGCAGTAGCACTTACCTCAAAACTTACCGATCCATTATGATCAGTGTCAAATGCATTAAACAGAAAATGTGCATAAGTTGTGGAATCTATAATTTAAAACAGTAAGAATAGTTTGCGTGAGCACATCTTATTTCAATTAATTTAATTCCATGAAAAAGATGATACCAGCAGGACTAAATTTTTAGTTTAAACTTTCTGTTGCTGTTGTTGACATCGTTTTTTTTTGCAAAAGAGGAGAGACGTAAGTGCAAGCGTACATGTAACTAGAGTGTTAGGAATGGGAGTTGCAAAAATCTGATCTCTGATGTCTGTATTCGTTTTCATCACTAGTTCTGTGGGCAAAGTACTAATCACCATTATCTGAAAGATATATGGAAGAGTGGCAAAAAAGTCTGTACCTATACTCTGAAACAATCTCTGCTGCTGACATGTCTGCTTTATCAGTTAAATGACCATGAGAGGAGACCTATCTCGTGTTAATGAAGAAGAATGTGTTCATTTATTCATTTCAAACGAAGGAACCAGTCCTGCTTTCCCCCAGCACTTTACCCACGGTGAAGATGAGCTAGCCAGAAGCTCCCTGTACTCAGAGCTCAACACAGTGCAGCAGTCGTCTGGAGAGAAGGCTGAGGCCCTTGCTGCACAGCTGCCTTATGGATGGTGGCCCACACATGAGATAAAATCCTGTCCAGAGTGGTAGAGTCTTAAAACTGGTTTGTGGCTTAACCCTCGTGATCATCATTTTAGAGCTAGCTGCTCAGAAACTTTGAGAAAAACAGCTGTGACTAAGCAAAATGGTCAGCAAGACTCTAAAAGACAACCTTATTCATATATTGGCTCAATTTGGAAACACAATACAGCAACCAGTGTAAATATGTCAATATAAGTTTTTGTAAACATCCATTTTCCTATTTCCACTAAATTACTTACAAGAGACCAAAACTGCTCCAGGAATAATACATTACAAATGGAAATGGAAAACTTCTCCAGAGATCGCCCTGTTGATGTAAATTAGCAGCTGCTAAGGTTATGGGAAGGCAGCTCTGCTCTGCATTTTCCCTCACTCAAAACCCATGTAAATTACTTATAGTACTTGTTGCTTTGTCCCTCCACTTCATTTTTATATTAATTTTATGTTAATTAACATTAACCACAGAAACATTTAGTAAGATGAGAAGTTTTGTGGCCCTCAATGTGCAAGTGAGGGACTGAGGCAAAGAGAATTCATGATGTTTGGCCACAGTCATGACTGCAAAATCAGAGAGGTGCCCAACCTGAGAGTCGCCTTGGAAATTAAAACGATTCTTCCTGAGGCTATAGAATATCTCAGTCAGGACACAAATACTGCAAGGGAAGGCTTCTACAAGGGAAGAAACCCAATAAAGTAAAACTCAGAACTTTGTACCTCACAGATTCAGACCTGACACTAGTAAGACAAGTCCCTGATTTGACCTCAGAATGTTAATTTAGTATGATAAGAAATAACTGTAACAAGATCAAACTCTGCAGCCTTTAGACCCTGGCTACGTCTGTTAATGCATTGAATGCGGTGAATTTCCAAAAAAAAAAAAAAAAATTGTCTTTCACTTATCCTTATCACTTATTCACTTATCACTTGAGCCTTTCACTTATCCAGGCATGTAGCCAGCCACCAGCATCACTGCTGAAGGCATGACCTAACATACAAATTCCCGCTTTAGCTGAAAAATTTAAATGTGCTGACTTCAGCTTATATTTAGAATTTTAAGAGTCAGATTTTATCTAATCTCCTTAGACATCTGTTGTGCAACAAAATATACTCTGAATAATCTTCTGGAAGAAAAATATTACAGAGCTATAATCACTGCAAAGTGATTATTAGGTCTCTTCCCACTTCTTTGGTTTAATTTCATAAATAGGCAAAATATTCCTAAATATTTACTGTGTACTTGTAATGAATATAACTGTGTTAAAACAGTTTCTTTTTTTCTTACTATGTGTTGCCCATTTATGTTACAGTTTAATACCCTTTTTGTTTGTCTATAAATAAATAAAAACAGTCTGTATTTGCAGATGTTTCTCTTGGTAGTAACCTTTTTAATAATTTAAAAAAAACTCAGGTTTTTTCAGGGTTGTTTATTCAGGTGAAACTTCTGTTGAAGTTTTCTATAATTTTGTCTTCAAAAATTGCGTAGGGCAGTTTAATCAGTGATATGCAATGTGACTTCTCCTCCCAATAACTGTTCAATATTAATCACAGTAGACAAAAGCTTTACTTTATCATGAAATACAGTTTTGTCTTAGTGCCCTGAGAATAAGTCAGCTACACTAGTCAGCTACATTCATAATTTGACAAATTGAGGTAGGAAGAAATGTAAAAATCCCCATTCCTTTGAGATACACACTTAAGTATCTTAAATATAGAAGACAACAAAAAGATATTCATTATGTATTCAACAGTATCCCTTACCGAATTATGAACATAAGCTCTTCTGTTCATAACTGAGGAGGAATGTAATAATTATTCAGGGCTGACTCTTATCTATGACCTGCAAGTCTAAGAACAAGTCCCAGGCTGTATTTCAGACATTCATTTGAACTGAGTGTCAAATGAATTCAAGGGAGCTAGTGGGGCTTGTTCATTTACCTACACAGCCACAGTTTTCCCATTTATTAAAAATAAGTTTTCTTTACTACAGTGCCTTTCTAGAAGAGAAAGCTTCTCAAAAGGCTTCTACCTTTTAAAATATATTGATTTTGTTGCAATTATCATCTCTTTTGCAATTCATATGGGTCCCTTATCCCCTTTTTATTCTTCCTGGCCCTTATCCTGGATAATCCTGGAACTTACTTGATTAGACTTTCTGCATGACATGGGAAAATGACTTCTGATGATTAGTCACCCAGTCATCATTGTTTGGTCACCCTAAAGTTCAGATGTTACACAATATCATTCCATTTGCTTAAGTGATATGAGTAATTATAATGATACAACTTGTTGTATCCATTTTTTCATTACAGTGAATATTTGGGGCACAGTGTACACACATGGCCTAAGTTTTGATTCCGGGATGTACAAACATACTCTTCCTCTGCAGACAGACGCAAAAACAATCTTGTAAACCCGCCTGAAATCCAAAGGCTTCGGCTGCATACAGGATGTTGGCTATACGTTCAAAGATGTAAGTACCTAATCTGGCTGCTTAATTAGATACTTACATATGATGATCTCACCTGGTTGTTTACAGGCAGGGATATACAAATAAAGACAATTACTGGTGCTTGGAAGGTATCTTTACTGTTTTGGGAAACAAAGAATAGACTCTGCTTGCCAGATCTCACACAGAATGGCAAAAGTCAACACAGAAATCTACAGAATGAAATGGAAAAATCTGATAAAGACTAGTCAAAATCAGAATGAATTCAACAGAAAAGAGAGATACATCCTCATGGTTTCTGGTGTATGATAGAGTCTTTGTTTTATCCAGTTGAAATTGCTAACAATGGTCATGGCTGCTAAAAATCCCCACTAGTCACACTCTGAGGAATGATGACCAAGTAAGGGGTGCATCATAAAACTTCTTTCCTTTTTTTTTTCATATTTTTATGTTTTAAGCAATATAAAAACACTATTTTTCAAAAAAAAAAGTTGTATAGTTGTAACATTTATTTCCCCAAGAAGAAAAAATAATTATCCTAATAATTACCTATTATAAATAATTGTAGAAAGTATTCGAGCCTCTTAAAAATAAAAAAAAAACAATTATGGATGTAAAATAATAGAAAATAATTATATGAAATGTACTTCTTATGCTGGAATATATCTATTCATTTTTAAAAGTCACTTAATAAATTTTAAACTTTTATCTTGTGTAGTTCCACAAAATAAAGTGATAGAAAAATTAGTTTTCTTGAAGACTGGGAAATAAATCTTTCCCAAAGTTAACTACACAAATTCCTGACTTTTGTGAAAGGATAAGTTTTCTGCAAGACACTTTAAAAAGCAGCTCTGCTTTATTAAGACTGTGTTCCTATGGAAACCTGGATGACTCTTACCATATTCTTTTAGGATAATGGGATCTTGAGTGTTTCTGAAAAACTCTGTGCCCTGAGATATGAGCTTCTTTTAACTAAGGGAGTCAGACATTCAGCATAAAAAAATTAAAATGTTTTGAAGACAGCTGCTGCTAACAATGTCCTCTGAGAAGGTTAAGTTTTCAGTACTAATCTTATTCAAATATCAACAACTGTTTTTTTATGTAAAACATATTGAGCAAAATATATACACAGAGAAAGATTCCAGTGTCACCGAGCCCGCAGCAGTTATGGGAAGCATACTGCAAGCTGTTGTATTTGAGAGGATAATCAGCTCTTCTGCTATTTCTTGTGAATAATTTTCCTAGCTTTTTGAGAAAAACTGTATGAAGTTTGTACACTTGTTTACACAGTAGCATACACAGTATTTATTTACACTGCACTCCTGGGAGTGGAAGTTATTAACACTGAAAGCAGAATGAAATGGTTTCTGATGAGGAAGAGCTTCCGAAAGATCTTCATTCAGATCTCTGAAATTATTAAAAAAAAAAAATCCAGGTAACAAATGAATTACCTGGATTTGATACTTTCTTACCACTCTAAAAATCAAATACATGAAGCTTCTTCTCAAGAAACTCCAGAAAAGGATTGCCCAATTCAGCAGAGCCTAAGGCCTCACCAATTGTGTATTGCCATTGCTGGTGACAGGGTTTTCAAGACCTCAGGCAGAGGCTTGTCAGGCTGGCTCTGTCTGAACTTTTCTGGACCTGCCTGCAGCTTTCATTTAATTGGTTTAGCTGTGACTGCAATTTCTCTAATTGATCAGGTGTCCAAGGCTAATTTGTTGTGTTTGTCTTTGTGCAACCATATAGGCAGCAGAGACAAGCAGTTATTCTATGTAGGAGGAGATATTTATGACTCTAACATGATGATGCACCACAGAGAGCTACAGGGTTGGTGTAGCAGCAGAGACCTTCAAGTCGCGGCACAGGATCCTCACGGAGGAGCACAGATCTATGCTGGTAAGGGATGGGGCACATAAACCGCTCACTAATGCTCAGCTAGAGAAATGCAGACCAAGAAATGGACAAAATTGATTTTAGGAGGAACAAAAAGAACATAGCAGTAGTATCTAACATATGTGACAGACACTATATAGTCAATTCAGATGTCACTTGGAGCTGCAGACCCCACGAAGAAAGAGAAAGGTAGAAAAGCTGTAAGCAAGCATAAAAATGATCCTGAGTAGATCCTAGTGCAAGGAAAGAACTCATGAACCGTATTCCTCCCACTAAAGGACTCCGGATGCTGACAGCTCATCACCCTCAGCACCCTCAGAGCTCAGAGAGGAGTGGAAGGGCGAGCATGACATCAGGATATAGGGTTGAAATTAATAACACAATTTTCATTGCTTTTCATTGCTTTTTCTATAACATTCAGATCCGGACTAATAAACATTAGTCTCCTAAGATATTGACTATACTAACAATAAATTCTTAACTTTACTTTTGTCCATAAAGAATTCTGAGTGTAACAAATCTTACATATTGTGTTTTTATTATTCTAAGATTTTTCAAGTGAAGTAAATCACATTCAATTTTCACAAGCCTAGCTAACTAAAAAATATGATATCTGAAAGAGTACTTGTTAGTCTGGTTTAAAAACTTAGATACAGAAACAATCAGTAGGCAGGTCAAATCACTCAGCCTTTTGTTCTTACCTATTCAGTGTGCTTATTTGCTGAGGATTTCAGTGATGGTAATCCACAGTGAATGCTGCTCTTGACCTTCTAGGATTTTATTTAAAATAAAACTAATTGGGAGAGTTACTGTTACTACAAATTAAAGATTTAAAAAAAAAAAAAAAAAAAAAAAAAGGTAAGTGAAAAGAAAGAGCTATGAACAGTCCCAGGGAAACACGAAAATCTCAAGAGCTGTGGGAGCAGATGAAGAGGCAAGATTGAATTGCTGTAGGACAATCTGAGGAGGGAGAACTGAATGGAAAAAGGAAGAGGAAGGAAAAAGAGGAAAACAATTCTAGCGAAAACAAAATCTGCAGTTCAAGGCAAAAACTCTTGGTTACACGTTTTTGTGCTACCTTCACTGCACTAAAAGATAATGAAGATGAAGAAATTAATGAAACCCCTGGAAATTACTTGGAAATTAGAATAGCATAAAAGCCCTCATTTAAGTAGAGGAACCCCATTAAAGTCAATGGGGCTTCTCCCTTTGATATTAGATTTGAATCATACATATACTGCCTCCTACAGTTTTAACTCCTACAGTGATTTTTTTTTTTAATGAAAGACTATAGGGAAAAACACCGAAGTTTAAACAGCAATAACCTACTCAGAGAAACCTGAGTTTTCAAAGATACATAAATCCAAGTTGAAACTTCATAACTAGAGACTGACCTCCTGTAGATATCACTGCATTTCAGTCTGCAATATACAACCTTAAATGTGTCTAGTCAGCAAGTAACATGCAAGTGCAAACAGAATTTGGTACAACCATATCGTCAGTTAGAACAAACTTTCTGAAGAGCTAGAAACTAATAAGAAACATAATTCTCCATATATTCTGATACTAATGTGTCTGCCAAGTACTCACCTCCTTGTGGAAAGAACTGAGAGTAAATTTCTTTGAAGGTATCTTCATTGACGACACCGCTGGGGCATTCCT